AGATCATTAATTTTAACGAGCTTTTTTTCTTCGTCTAACATCTCGTCAATCCTTTTTAAGAGACATTCTGACATAAATATATGCCACGCTTCCTTGAATTCTATAGTGAATGTTGCTTCTTCATCGATTGCTTTGAAGAAACGTCTAAGAAACGGTCACCAACATCTTCTTGAAGGTAATCCTGAACATCAGTTTGCTGGACTTGAGAAAGGCATTCTATCCTGAAATTGAAACTTAATTATGATTATTGTCCAACATATCAAAAATGCATTTTACTTACTTAAAATCCTCGATAAAGTGCTCTGCAATTTTTTTGAGACTGCTTCGAAGTACATCTTTATAGCTTCGAAATGCCACATTTGCGGCTTCTTTTAGGACTGAGACACTTTTAGATAATAATTTTTTGGACGGAAAGCATAACTTAATGCATTTAAGAATTATTTCTTTCGTAAGATACCGTGTTCTAAAAAATAAACATTTTAAAAATGTTTGAAACATTGTCGATTCTTAAAAAAGAAAGATCATTTATAAAAATTAATACGTATTAGAACATTTATAATTTGTACCGGGGGTGTTCAACACTGGGTGCTATATCTCAAAACTCATTTAGAAACTTGGAACCAGATGTATTAAGTAAAAATGTCCAGAACTCAAAAAAACCCCATGACAACTAAAATTTGAACTTTTATATTTGATCTGTATCTTAGTCAAAGGTTTCGCATACCAATTTCGTACACCCTTATCAAGAACGGACCTATTTTCAAATATTTACTAATTGATATTTATTACTTGGATGGATGTTATTGATAGGGTGTACGAAATTAGTATGCGAAACCTGTAAATTTAATAATAAACATAAAGATAGATATTGATAACCCAGTACAAAGATAATTGTTTTCTTAAAATTATATGGTTTTCTCTCACAATTAAAAAGTAATCTTAATTGTTGAGTGAGAACTTCAGGTTTTTTGTTATCTGATCCTTTAAGGCCATCATATTGAGCCATTTTATTTGCAATTTTTAAAAGCTCTGGTCGTTCAGAAATATATACTGCTGCTTTATATTCTGATTCAAATACAATTTTTTTGCGGCTATGTGGCTGAGAACGGGATAGGAAAGGTTGAGACCGAGATAGGAAATGAGAGCTTTGCGATTGGAAAGGTTAAGATTTAAATGGAGAACGAGAGTATCATGATTGAAAAGGTTGAGATATAAATGGTGAACGAGAACCTCGTGGTTGAAAAGGTTGAGATCTGGATGGGAAACGAAAATGTTGTGGTTGGAAAGATTGAGATTTGGATGGGGAACAAAAACACTGTTGGAAGCTGAATAGGGAACGAGATCGTCGTGATTGGGAATGTTGAAAGCCTGAATAAACGTGTCTCAATTGTGAACGAGAGCGTCGTGAGCAAGAAGTTTTGAATTAAGAATTTCGTGATTGAGATTGAGAACGAGTGTGTGGCGATTGAGAATGAGTGTGTGGCGATTAAGAACGAGAGTGTGGCGATTGAGAACGAAAGTATTGTGATTGAGTGTCTTCAGCACTATTACCCAAAAGCACTTCGTTACAATCATTAAAGTCTTCAAGATCATCATTCAAATCATTATGAGCCTTGGATAACAATTCTTTTTTTTTTCTTAAAGATGTAGGTGGTTTTTTGCTTGAAGATGTAGGTGCTGTTTTGTTTGAAGATGTAGGTGCTGTTTTGCTTGAAGATGTAGGTGCTGTTTTGCTTAAAGATGTAGGTGCCTTTTTGCTTGTAGACGTTCGTGCAGATGTTTTCTTGGAAATACGTGTATTTCATTTTAAAGTGGATTTCTTGGGCATATTAGACTATTTTCTTCTAAATAATTATTTTGCTGATTATATACTGAAATTATTACTGAAAGTAGCGGCTAATGATAGTAAAGTGAAATTATGTTTTAATTGACGATTCTCCAGACAACTGAAGAATGATCATAGTGAAATGTAACGTGGTTCTATATATAAATTACTATAGATGTGAAAATAGAAATTTTCTAGTGATTGTCCAAAGAAAACTTTTTTTTGTAC